AAGAAACAAAAATATAGAAAGAGGATGTTAGATGACAAAATGAGTATTCTTTTCTTTTTAATATAAATACATGAATAATAAGATGTAAATAATCGGTGCCAATGTTTCAAAAATATTTTAAGAGATGTTTGCTTATCAATCGAATGAAATGTTGAACATATAGTAAAGACAACTAAGCTAGCATTGAATTTGAATGAATTTTTAGTCAACGTTATAAGCAAGTTTCTTTAAATAAGAAAAGGCATGGGACAGAATATTGAATATATACTCGTATCTTTATTATTGCAATTTTTCGAGAAAAGTTTGCTCTGCAGGTGATTGTTTGCTTAATTGGCTCAAAAATATGGCTGTACATCAAATTTGTTTTTCGCTTTTCGTGTTCTGCACGTTCCTGTCTGATTGGCGTAGTAAGCTGCACATAAATATGAAATGAGTTTATTTGTTTAAAAGCTGCGCACAGTTTGTTTTTATTTCTCTTCTCACGAAGCTAAACGAAACGTGAGTAAATCGTCTGCGATGATTCAATCAACAATGGACTTGTTAAATACTGCCAGATATTTCATTTGATGAACTGTCGCTGCTAATAAGCTGCAATTGAGTTCCTGAACTTTGTCTTTAATTGCGGCTGCTCACAATGCTCCGATTGATTGAGTGGAGGTGGCAAATCCTGTAGCAATTGTTCATTCATTGGCCAAACTGCAAACTGCAGTGTCCTCCAATTACCCAATTTGTTTGCGATTCAGTAGCCAGACTCCGCGGCTGCTACTGCGCATGTCTGACTGGCGCCAGAACGGCGTCTGCTCCAGTTTCCTGCAGCGTCACGGCTGCTCCTGCCGTCCTTTGAACTGGCACTGGCGTCGAGCAACGGCCGCAGCATGGCACTGCCAGATTTGCTGCCGCCTCCCCCTCCAACTCCCCCCAAAAATTCAAGTTGTAGCCATGGAAACTGTGTCGCAGACTTTGGCTCGCCCGCAACTTTGCTGTTGGTGGTTAGTTTGGAGGCTTTCTTGAGTCCTTCGGCTGCTTTGGCATGAATTGCGTAATTTGCATGCCCGCTGGCAAGGCGTGTCATTAACAAACAACAACAACAGCAACAGCAACACCAACTTCAGTCTGAGCGAGATTGCGCACGACATTCGGGATCCTGGATGGCATTATGTTGCGCACTTAATTGAGGCCTCCTTCCTGTCCTCCTGCCTTCCTGCTATCGAGGCGTATCAAATTATAGCACTGACATCCTTTGGTCTTTGTTACTTTTGCAAACGGATGGTGTTTTTTTTTGTTTTTGGCTGTTTTTGTGTTTGTTGTTGTTATTGCTTCTTGGGGTTGCATGAGCAGTTATGTATATGCATGTTTACTTAAAGTACAAGTATGTATCTGCGTTGAAAGGGGGGGTAGAAATGCCCTAATCCTGTGGCAACATCTTACGATGTTGGATGGCATTTCTGTTATTGATGTTGTGTCGAAAGAATGAAAAATGTTCAGTTCTATTAGATGGGAAACTTGTATTTAAAATTTAAACTGTCCAAAATGTCTTAAAAAAACATACTTCATTGAAAATTCGTGACAAAATTTCGTTTGAATAAAGCGGATAGAACTAATTAACCGATTTCAAAAAAGAGGAGGTTATCGATTCGTCTGCATTTTTTTTTATATTTTTTTTTATGTTTGTTACCTCGGTACACTCCACTGGGTGAACTGTTTTTAATGGTTCTTATACCATTTGATAGCTGGTGCTTCCAGAATGGTCCCTTATAAATTTAGTCCAGTTCTGACAATGGCATCCATGAGAAAACAGCATAAGTCTTAAATTTGTATTAAGTATGTGCAAGACAAATGAACGAATAACTTTATATCACGATAACCGATTTCGATTATTCTTTTTTTTATTGGAAAGGATGTACTTTAAGGGTACTTTGATGAGAGTTTGGTTAGGTTCTGCAAACGAGGACGTTCTCAATTCGACTGTATTGTTCATTGTTACCTCAGAACTTTAGACAGTGTAAACCGATTTAAATGATTCCTTTTGTATTTAAAAGCTGATGATTCCCATGTGGTCCCATTGCAATTTAGTCCAATTCTGACAATGGCATTCATGAGAAATCCATATAATTCTTAAAACATACAAAATATTCATGGGTTTTAGATATCATGCGAAGGCACCCGGTAGATAAGTGTCAAATTTAAATGAGATATCATGTGAAATAGAATTTCAATTTCAGTATAATGCCGTCGAAAAAATCTAACAATGCGTGTAGCAAAAATACACGACCCCAGCGTTCTAAAAGCTCAAAAGTCAGAAGAACAAACTGCAACAAGAGCCGCAACTCAACAAATCAGAACAGAAGATATTCGCAGACGACAGACAGACATTGTGATGAACGTTTTCGACAAAATATATTGAGAACAAGAGTGGCGCTGTCTCATATGAGAAACACGTTTATTAAGTCTACCCATATTCATACAAATTAGTTAGTGTACTTCACATTCACTAAAAATCCAAAAATAAACAACAATTTAAACAAAAAAAGAAACCGATTTCAAACTATTAACAGGCACTAAAAAGTAAAAAATAATTGCGTATTCTTCTACAACAATTTGTAAAAAAAGTATTTCTTAAAGTATTCTCATCTTATTACTGGTAGATTGATTGATTGATTGATATATTGTAGTGTTTCCTTGGCTGACACCGACTCCAAAAAGAACAATAATTGTATCTACATTATATATTGAATATTAAGTTGTAGAAGAATACGCAATTATTTTTTACTTTTTAGTGCCTGTTAATAGTTTGAAATCGGTTTTTTTTTAAATTGTTGTTTTTTTTTCTTATTATTCTAAGCAAGACTTTAAAATATTAAAATATAAAGCAAAAAATAGCCGATCTTTTGAATAAAACCTAAATAAAATCATATAGAATTAGGTTGTTACAGAATTTAAAAAAAAATGATGAAGAAAGCAAGGTAGCGTTGAAATATTTGACACTATTTCTAAGACATTCTGGGACATTATTGGTAAACTATTAAACACGAAAATCTATTTACAGGGATTGGTAAACAGAAATTTTTTCCGTCGAGTCCCCCTGTGTATTTCATTTTTTTAATTTTAAGCAAAACAACGGGTCTACAAGTATTTGTAAAAAGTATATATATATATATATATATATATATATATATATATATATATATATATATATATATATATATATATATATATATATATATATATATATATATATATATATTCGTGAATGCCTAACCAGGTTTTGCGTGGAATTAAAATCCAAGAGCAGTTTAATTGACATTTCAAATTCAATTAAAAGCAATATTTCCTGCGCTATCAATCTAAGTAATCTAAGTATCAACAAGATAAGTTAGTTCTAAAGAATGTTATAAACATAAACGTATTTTCTCTCTGCCCATGTCCTGCCTGTACCTGTTGTTGTTGTTGCTGATTTGGCTCAACTCTTCACCGCGCAATTACAGGAACACATAGCCACGCATAGACACACTCTTTATATGTTTTATTTTAATAATTTGTATTTAATTAAATTAATTTTTTGTAAATAAATTTTTAAAATATTTTACAATTTTTTTTTAATTTTATCAGGTAATCCTTATTCCTTTCATTCCTTTCTTGCTAACCATAGACTTCACTATAATTATGGCCCAAAAATATGAAAATGTAATTAACACAATTTCGGGAAAATTAAGCTGCACATAAGCATAGCACAGTCTATTTTTGGACTTTCCTTAGCTTCTTCACTTAATTACTAATTACTTTTTTGCCTTCTTGCTGTTTGCATTTAGGACGTTATTTCTAATTTAAGAAATGTGCTCAGCTTTTATTTAAAGCAAAGCACTCACGCTTATTAAATCTCTGACTTAGCTGATGGTTATTGCTAAGAAGTTTACAAATTCTAGTAGTTATGCAACTTAGATTCTTTATTGCTGCCTTAAGTTGAACACAATACTTGTAGTTAACAGGTCGATCGAATCGGTTTGCTTTTTGTTGAATACATTTTAGTAATTTCAGAAACTATTTTTAAGCAACAACATTGCCTTTTAAATGTTCGAGCTGTACATAAATTTGCCTCCCACACGAAATTTCACATTAAATCATTCGACGAAGAGCCTAAGCGTGACCTTTGGAGCAAGACGATAACAAGAGTGACCTTGATGTGAAAACAATCAATTACTCACCCACCCCCGACACACCGCAGAGTTGCAATACTGCTATGGGCCTCTTGAGACCCCAACACCCCAAGAATTACCTGCAATTGCTCGTCAGAAAAAAAAAAAAGAATAACAAAAGTTTAGCAACTACGAAGCAACTGAACGAGGCTAAAGAGGGGGCGTGGACGTGTCTGGGAGGGCGTAGAACATTTAGAAGTCTGTGCTGGACAAACAGCCAAGTGGAACAACTTGCAAACCCATTAGGAAGTACCAACATTGACGCTGACGATGACGCTGACGCTGACATGCGAAGGACGTCGCCTGACGTCGAAGTTGGCAACAGAAATTGGTCAGCGTAACCCGATACGTCAGTCAGTGGGGCCCAACATAATAATGAAATAAGAGTCAGTCAGCTGTGGGCCATTTTAAAATGAAATGTAAATAAATTTTGTTGAATATTTGACACACACCCCACACAGTTGCCACCTCGAGTCAAGCTGCTACACGTGGCAAGGTGAGCTCGTTGGCATGCTTGTGTTGATTTATGGCAAATATTAAAAGCAGCTCTCGCACTTCCTGCAAGGAATTTGCCAAAGCTGACATGCAAAACTATTCCGAAGGCCACACACTGCCAGGGAAAATAATCACGCCATTGTCTTCAAAAATCGGTCGGAAACACGCCAACTAATGCCGCGAAAACTTTGCGGCTTCGTTTTGGCCAAGAAGGGGGCGCTCTTGATCAGCAGGTGGTTCCTACGTACACACCTCCAAATAATTAGTTTATAAGCCCCCAACAAATAAATGGCAATCGGCCAGAGTTCAAAGTTTGGCGGTTCGTTGCTTTATGAATTGTTTATGCCAAACAAATTGAAAACAAATTAGCGGCAAAGCTAAATAAACAATTTGGTGCTCGACTAATGGCCAACAATTGCTCTCTGGATCAATCAGCTATTAAGTTATGGCAGTCAGTTCACGAGTTTTGTGTTTCCGTCCACGGAAGCAGAGATCATAAATATCAGCCTGGCAAGGAAGTAAGCGTTAAGTGGGAACTAAAAAGAGAAAATTAAAGGGGGAATATTTTATTATTAAACAGATTTCCTTAGATAAGAATCATAGAAACTCCTAAATTAATATTAATATCAATGTGGGTTTTAAATGGTTTCTTTATTTTATTTATCCCCTTTTTTATACCAAAATCTGTTTCCCTTTCTTTTATTATATACACTGATAAAAAAGTTGCATAGTACGGATGAATATTTTCATATTAAATTTAATGTTCATCTGTTTCATATTCAAATCAAATATAAACATCGTAAATTTGACTAAAAACATATTCAATTAGTGAATGTAATGTGAATAATATTCAAAACAAAGTGTAAAACTTCGTTATTAAAGTGTGTCATATTCAATTTAATGTTGAACCATATTAAATATTAATATGCACACACTTCAAAAAACAAATAGTTACATTTACTATATTCCATAGTAAATTATAATATTTTTTGAACTTTATTTTGAAGTTTTTAATAGTCTATTTAAATATACTAGAAATATATTAAATTTCAATTGACTGCAATTCTCAAGTCGATTTTCAGCGGTTGTGTGGTATAAATACAAAGTGTAACCGCTTAACATACAGATATGGTCGTTAAGTATGTGTTATTCAATCAGCTGCTTCTCACTTTTAATATTAATATAGATCCAAACTATATCTGTACTAAAAGGCATGAAAAACATCAAATTAATTAATTAATTCCTAATAACAAAAGAACTTTAAAATTACTTTCTGCTAAAAATGGTGGTGTTCTATAGATAAAAAAATATAATATCATGATACATTATCATGAAAAGAGTTAAAAAAAAACAGTAACGTAGACAAAAAAGTTGAGCAAATATTTTATATTTTATAATCCACATTGTGATTTAATATCGTCACACTTTCAACTTAATTTTTTAATATTACATTTTTAAATTTAAGTGTGCACACTTCATATTTACTAAAACACACGATGGTGAAAAATCGATGGTAAAAATAGTTAAATCTACGTGTAAATATTGAAATTTCCGTGCTTTTTTATCAGTGTAGCTATTTTAATTTTTAAATATATTTAGCTCTAGAGCGTTTTCTTAGACCTATTAGCAATAATACCTTCCACCAGTCTTGAAAACAATGAAAGCCATAGAATTATAATATCAGTACATCTAAGGGCCAATGTTTTTATACATTTGAGTCCTCACACCCTTTGTATTTAAAAGAAGCAACTGAAAACGTTTTCACATTTAAAAATTAAGATTGATTCCCATTTTATTAAGCACTAACGTCCTGCCCCTGCTTCTCACGGGTATTTTTCAAAAAGTGTACTTTTTGTTATGAGTTACTTAAAAGAGTAAAATTACAAACATAGTTGGATAGTCCTATTTTAATGATTTGTTGTTCTTTTTTAAAATTTTTTGTTATTCTTTATCGAGTCAGAGCCTCTCTGTATACAATATTTGGTGTTGTTGTATTTTATAGCAGATTTGTGCCTCCCTCGCCCTCTAATGAATCTGACCTTCAAACAATACGAACAACCCGACAAGCGATTTCACTTTAATGGCTCGCGAAATTGTCAAACACCAATCTTTATTAACATATCCCCAGCCAGAAGTTTTCGAGCCAAGCAACAAAAATAAGAACGCATATATAGTAAGTAGGACAACGAATTTGTTCCGTCCTCTAATTGCGGTGTCTGTCCATAAAAATGTCTGTCGAGGCGCCAAAGAGACTGCTGTCGACGCACAGTTTTGGGCTGCTGGACCTCGATTGGGGTGGATTGGGGGCGGCCCATTAAATCAGTTGTTTGTGCTATTTTGTGCGCTCGTCTGAGCTTTATGGCCATGACGATGATGTCAACAACTGGGAGCTGCCTTAAGCCACCCTCCTCCAGCGAGAGACAGGGCCGGGGCACGGCTGGCAGACGGGCTGACATGCTGCGCATGAATGGATACACAACTGGAACGATGTGTGTCGCCACTGGGTATTAACTGATTTATATAAGATTGTCGCTTAAAGGTATATTGTCGAATAACAGTAACAGTAACAATAACTTTCGCCTTCCCTCTTCCTCTTCCTGTTCCAGCCCACGATCATAAGCATTTGCAGTGCTGGCACTGTAGCTCCGATACAATAGGTGCTGAGGACTTTTGCGATGAGACCTTCAAGGAGGACAACATACCCACTGATTTGGTCAAGGAGCGTAACATAAATCTAATGCGCAGCTGCAACAGTTCCATAAACTCAGATCACGAGCGTGCCGTTTGCCGCAAAATTGTGGAGGACAGTAAGTAGTCCATGGATATCCAGATGGTCCCCCCTCTATAAATCAATCCCTTTCTAGGCAATGGCAAACGCATTACCAAACGTTTCTGCTACTACACCAATAAGTCGGATCCCGTCGAGCTCTGCAATGTGACCAGCACCGAGAAGAATGTGCAGCGGATATTCTGCGAGGACTGCATGACAAATCTCTGCAACGCCGGCACACAGCTGGCCAGCATGCTGGGCGCCTTTCTGTTTCCCACTCTGGCACTGGCCAAGAACTTGGCTCTTTAAGCTGGTACGAAGGTCTTTAGTTTAGTTAAAGTCTACTTTTTACTCTCCCGCTCTCTATTATTTAGTTGGAACGTGATATTTAGTTAGCACCGTGATAAGCTTAAGTTAAGTCGGAATTGTTGCGAAGTTCATTTTCAATGTTTGCAGTATCATGAAATGAGAAAGCCTAAGAAAGAAAACTGGATTCTGGCTGAAACATTTCCATGTCACCTAAATTTGTGGACAACCTCCTTTTAAAGCACTGGTGCCTTAAATTTTTGGATGCGTTTCGTTACAATCCGCATACATACAGCATACAGTTCTAACATTATAATTGCGTTTAATATATTCACTTAATACTGTCTTTCTTATAGTGCTATAATACCCCATCAATAAGCGATATACATAGTTTCTGAAATGTGGCATATTACCGGTTCTATAGATATTTCTTCTTTTTCTAAAATTGTATATCTTAAGGAAGTCACTTGTATTTATTATTGTGATTTATATTTCATCTTCTAAGAGGGTCTGTGGTCACTTATTCGCAGCCTATATCTTGAGCACTTGATCTCCGTAATTCTGTAATACCTAATCTTTAATTTTTTCGAAATTTGTCACACTTGAAAGGGGAATGTTCCAAAATCTCGACTTAGGCCATATTTCAGGCAGCCAGTGAAGCTTCTCACGTACTTAAGAAAATGAAAAATGAATTTCGAAACATGCCCGAATTTAAAATGAAAACAAAAATGTCACCCGAATCTCTGTTGTTCTTTAAGTTAAAGGTTACCCACACAATTTCTAGTTTGCTTATAAGTTCCACTCTTCAGGCTCAATAACAAGATTCGAATTGTATGTTCTTAAGCTTTTCAAATAATTAGTCAAAAACCTAAGATGAACTCAATGCACAACTAAACCAAATCTACTCGTAGAACATAATTCTGAAAACAAATGAATTTTTTATCTATAGGTTATCGAAAATTTCAAAATATGTGTCCAATCTTGTATTTTTAGTTTAATATTAAATAGAATTGATAACCGTGCCGGTTTTACCAAAAATATAGACAAATATACATTATGTGTAACATATTTTAATGTAAATGTAATGCCACAGCGAATCGATAGGCCCAATGAGAATAACACAAGTTTAATTATCACAGCTATATATACATATACTTGTATTGAAGAACACACATACACGATACACCCAAATAAAGTTCACAAAAGTAATATACTATAATTGATAGCCTAGTCTACTTCTTTACCAGTTATTTAGCTGATCAGAGTTGCTTCTCAATCGTTCAGAGTTGAAATTGCTACATCGATGAGACGATCCTTCAACTTCTGGGGCAGGCTGGCGTAGAACGCTTCCCGTTTTATAACCTCCCACAACTGCGCCATATACTCACGATACGTGGCTGGCCTGAGGCCCGCGCTCTCGTAACGCTCGAACAGAAGCAGCTCGGCATGTACCATCAGTTCGTAGGAGTCCCGATTTCCGGGCATGTACAGCTGATAGAGATAGGCGGCGAATTGCCGTCCACGCTCCAGCTGGTATAAGCGACGCACCAACGTGTTGACCAATTCACGGAGCTGCTTGGGCTTGAAGAGGCAGTGCAGCTTCTCGGACTCCTTAGCGATCTGCGTCTGCCACTTGCCCTGCTCGTGATCGGAGGCCTGCAGGGCTTCCTTGAAGAGCGCTGTCGTATTCAATGTGGCCAGATGCAGGCGTATGTTTTCCCGCAGGAGGTAGCCCTGCAAGAGCTGCTGCATTGTGATATTCTTGCTGCTCTGGCAGACCACATGGGCCAAGGTTGTGGCAAAGTTCTCGATTTTGGGAACATCGCGTGGATAGTCGGAGCGTAGTTTGCCCCAAGTCGCTGCGGCAAGAGAGAGCTGATCTTCGACTGCTTCCGTTTGTTTAATCAGCTCCAGCATACGAGTGTTATCATAGCTGACGACTTGGGTGCCAACTGCCGTAATTGCAGGCAGCACAAAAATAAGAAGCAACAGTACCCTGCATGAAGTGCTGTCCATGTTGAGGCTTCAATTCCAACTGCGCGATCAGTGGACCGATCTGCTCCGATGGACCTGTCACCGCTGCTTATCACTAGTCTATATATACATATTTAAAGCACAATAATCAGCTTCTCTCGGCACTGCTTCAGGTTTCCATAACATTGTTCATACGACTACATACATACATGTTCATTAATAGATTTTTGCTTTTGAATACTGTTCACAATTAATCATTTGTCATCTACAACTTTTTATTATGACTCTTGATGAAAAAACTATATTTATTTAGTATATTTATTTATAAATATACAAAATGAAATGAAATATTAATCGGCTTGTAAGGGCTAACATTTTTGGAACATTTTAATGGCTCTAATTACATTATATGTAGTAATATGTAGGACTTTAAGACTAAATAAAACATTGTCACTAATTTGTAAATATTTTAAAATAAAATCGCATTTAAATACTTACTTTTATGAAATACAATATCCACAAAAGTCGACTTAATTTCCAAATGTGTTGAGTTCAGCGCAGCTGTGGCCCTTGCCGTGCAAAATCTGTCACTGCCAGCATTAAAGCGTTGAAGCCTACAAAAAAACAAACTACTAATCCAATTAGACCCCTCGGTGGGACACAGCACATAAAACCAGCAACCCAAATACATATATAGACATTTTTATAATACTTGGCCGCTTTGTTGCCCTTAATTTGGCATTGTCCTGTTGCCTCTATAATCGCAGCCTTCAATCTCGAGTGCATATTCGATCGCCTCCCTCTCCCCACCTCCCCCTCATTACTTTCACTCACCATTCTCGAGTCCATAGAATGTGCAACCATTTTAATTAAATTTATGCAAATTGTGTCGCCTTGTCGCCATTGATTAGTGTCGCACCCCACCGAGAGGACAGCGCCTCATTAGGTTTCGATTGTGTGCAGAGATAATGAAATGAACATATTGCAGTGTACAAGTTGAAAATTGTAAAGACAAAAACACACAACTGCCAAAGGATTGGGCCCCGCCATGCAGCTGAAAAACAAGAAAAATAAACAGCCCAGACATGCCACACAAAACCGAGCAATATGCAGCTGTCATTAAAGAATGTGTGGCATTGTGGGTGATGAATGGTGGCAACAACAAATAAATACCTTTTGATGAAACATTTATGTCTCGTGAAAATATAATATACTTGTACTTGAACAATAACATTTTAAGTTTTCCAGAAACTACGCTACTCGTATTTCCCCTACAATTTAATACCATTTTTTGTATACATATATAATTTATAAAACATTTAATTAGATTTGAATTGTGCTAGTATGCTGTTAATTCATATTCAGTTCATAAACAGATTTTACTAATTGTTTATCAAAATATTTTCATTTTGGTCTTTCAATCTCAAATGAGAAACAAAAAATGTAGCATACTTTTGGGATTTCACGAAATTGTTCTCTTCGAAGTGAAAGAAACAACACCAACAATTTTCGAGTCACTTCTGAAATACACTCATGAAATGAGTATTTTCCATTCGTACTTTTTGTAATACGCTTAACACTAATTATAATGCTCATGAAAATTGCTAGAGGCTGTTTACTTTCTGTCATACGTGCAAATTGTCAAACTTGCCATTCGCTTCAATATCGTGAATATATCGCTATGTACATATGTATATGTATATGTATATTTGTTTGTCTGTGTGTGTAAAGCGTCAACAAAGGTTCTGTCAATTAGTACTTTTTGTATTACCTTTCATAAAAATCAACTGTCAACAACTTATTCACAACTGTTTTCCAGAAGCAGAAGCTCTAAAATTTCAATACTTGCTGTGAATCATCTCGAAATGGAATCTATAGAACAGTAAGCTATACAAAAATATAGTTGGTTGCAATTATTTTGTAAATACTTATGTACCTAAATATTTATACTTATTCGAATGTATTTATGAGTCAAATTTGCTTAAGTCGCATTACTAGACTGTATTTTAGACTTATGGGAATTATAAACGTGATTAGGTAAATGTCAGCCTACACTGAGAACAAATAGTTTACTAGTTGTACAATGTTAATGAGATTATCATCATATTTTAAATTTAATCATTTGTATAAACAGGAATATTCAAATTCCGTATTCCAATTACTTTTTATGGTCAATAAAATATCTAATAAAGAGCCAGAAGATGTTACATCAAGCGTTTATCATTAATAATAATGCATAATTTGGAAATCAAAAATGTAAATCCAGTTTTGGCTAGTCCTTTACACTAAAACACTCGTTGAATACACTACGAAGGTCACAATTAGGAATGTTGCCTACCCCAGAGAAAATTTAAAGATTTGAAGTATGTGTGACCTTCATTCGAACTTGCAAGCATATTAAAAATATACACACATCTTATACTTTTTGCTTTATTTAATTGAAAGCACATGCAATATATATAAAGCTAACCTTTTTTTTTATCAGTGTACCAATCAACTGAATTTGTAATTTGAAAACAAAGGTCTCAGCAAAAACCAAAACAAATACTCAGCCAGAAACCGGTTCTTAATGTTCGAATGAAAACAAATAAATAACAATGAGGTTTGAACCGCTTGAAATACACACACGCATACAAACAAACACCTTCACGTACAAACTTGCGGCATATTGCGGTAAATAAACATTTTAACTCAAAACAGAGCGGGCAGCAGACAGCGGGCAGAGCAGAAACTTTGCGCGCTTGAGCAAAAAACTTGAACCGTTCGAGTGGGAATCGTCGCGTCACAGACGCTTAACTGACACTCCGACCCACCCACTGACTCTGCAGCTTACTCGCCGCCTCAAACCAAGCGAACTCGTCAGACGTGCAACAGACAGCGTCAGAGTAGGTTTGTGTGTAGCGCAGCGAAAGTATTTTGGAGCGAAAGAGAGAGTAAAAGTTTTAAGTAAAACGCAATTATGGTGTCAACAATTAAATGCATTTTGGCGGTGGCCATCATGATTGGCTTTGCCTGCTCGGGTAAATAAGACTTAAAGCAACATTTTTAAACATATAATGCAACAAAGGATTTTTGAATAGCTTTCGCAATCAAATGCTACCAATGCGAATCCCTCACCAATCCCAAGTGTGGCCTCAAATTCGAAGCCGATGACACGATGCTGATCGATTGTTCCCGCACTGGACCCCCACGCTATCTGCAGAACTTCTTCCAGTTCCGTAATGCCACAGGTTGCATGAAGAAGACGCTCGAAAGTGGTAAGTAATATAAACATAATTATAGGAATTATTAATGTGATTTGCTGCACCGTAAAAGACACGAAGATGAAGCGGGTGGTCTATTTATAAATAATAGAATAACTTCGGAATAACTCAAAATAATTACAGATTATTTATTTATTGTTAAGCAAAGAATGAAAGAATTTTTTAAGCTCCTTCTAAGTCGAATCAGACAGCTATCAGCTTGAGAAATATGCAGTGTGATCAGAAGAACTCTCAGTTTGCGAGAGTTTTACTTCTTTGTAGCCATATCTAAGGCTGTTCTCCATTTTTATACCTTGGAGTTTTTTTTTATCCCGATTTTAATTCAATTTTTCGGCATTCATATGACTAGCTTCAATATATCTCGCATTCTGCTAAAACTCTGCTAAAGTTCTGTTAAAATTCTGCTAACGTTCTGCTAATATTTTGTGCGCATTAAGATTTGCACTGCTTAGGCCAAGCAGCGCAAAAACAAATCCTTCATATCCTGTTCTGACATAAGAACCGGTTCGTGTCAGAAACACAAAACTTCTTAGCTTCCTGGCCTTTATTTTTTTACAGGATACTTTCAGCTTATTGAATATCGTGTTACTTTGACTTTAGAGGTGCACTCTTTTCCTTTGCACTCTGGCATAGCGGAAATCCTTCCGTGTATACTTATGCTAATTACACGCATAATAATCGGCGCACATCGTTTTTATACTATATTGTTGTTGTTGTTGTTGTCGCCGTCGTTGTTATGCCCATAATTGCTGGCATCTTTTCGTGGCTTTGATGTCATCACAGCTGCCCGATTTTTACGTTATGATGTCATGCATAAATATCTTAGCATCAGCTGTTGTTGTTGTTGTTGTTGTTGTCATTGTTGTTGTCGTCATTCGTATTGTAGGCAGTTAAGCGGATTTAATCATTGCCTTTGCGCTCGGCACGAATTCATATTATAATTTGATGCTTAATTGCGATAAGCAACAAGTTTGCTTTTCGCTGGGAAAAGCTCTACTTACAAATATTAAATAATGTTTGTAAAGTTTTAAAAGGATATTTATAAAATATTTTATTTTACTGATCATACAAGTATAGAAAATGGATTTACCTTATAAACTTTATAGCTAAGCAGAAATCTCTCCTTTATTCCTACATACTAGTTTAATACATACTTATTGTTATTGTTTAAAAATGATCAGAATATTTGAATATTTATGTATTCTGTTTTGATTACCCAAATATTCCATATGTAAAGCATATTCAGCCATCTTTCAAGGATAAGCCGCTATTAAGCCCACTTCTTTTTAACAATATGATTTCTTTACAAACCAGAAATGTTAAGTAAACATTTTGTTTTTATAAATATATATAGAAGCAGAATTATATTCAGACGTATGTGTAGCTCTATCTGCGCTCTATCTTCTGAGTTACGAGCGGCACTTTGACACCGGGCTGGTGTTTTCATCTGGAATGTGATAGCATGTTTCAAACTAACAGCGTTGGAACTAATTTATTCTGTCCGATAATCCTCCTATAATTGAACTTAATTCATCGCTGATATCTGTTCAGTGCCTGAACGATGAGGTCATCAAATGGCGACTCACAGCTACTTTTCGAAATAGTTGTTTCAGGCACGTCCGAATAACTTGGCACTCGCCTGACTTGTTCCAAATTTCAAAATACAAACAATACATGTGTATCCGTGGACGTATTGACGGCAAACAAAAACAACTTTTAAAACTGAAGTAAATATGCGCCGGCAGCAGAACGAATCCGTTGCTAATTTATGGCAGTAAGTTGGAAAATATTTCCAGTTGCAACCCTTCGCTGGGCTCCCACAAATAGAGCAAATATGCCATAATAATAGTAATAGAAATAATAATAATAATAGAAATAATAATATTACGAAAACAGCCGCAAGATGAGGCACTGCCCTTTTTCCGGACACAATGGCACTGCATTGTGGAGTGGCGAATAACAATCTTTGTACTTGTATCCATAAGATAGCATCTGCCAACCATTGTTTGGCAGAGAAAGCGTTGGTTAGCACCAGACTCACATATATCTTTCTCCATTCACACTTTCAGTGGTCGGCCATCCACAAATCGTGCGCACCTGCTACTTCGGCGATGTCTCGAACATACAGAGCGGCTGCCAGTCGGACCCTTCCCTGCCCTTCGTCAGGCAGCTGGGCTGTGACGTGTGCACCAAGGACGAATGCAACAGTGCCGGCTCCTTGGCGCCCCTCGCCGGTGCCATTCTGATGTTCTTCGGCGTGGCCCGTCTGCTCTCCTAAATGACGAGTGTCCCCTAGCTGCCTAGGATCTTAGCTTTTCAATTAGTTTTAAGCAACGCTATCTCACTACTTGAACTACCTTTAAAATGTTATTTAAGTTGTTCGTCCTTTGTGAATATTGCTTAAATTTTCATTCTCACTTAATTACAAATACATTGTTGTAGACAAGAAAAAACAATCAGCATGCGCCTTTCATTTGTTGTGTACATTTTGATTGACAATAAATGTATTGAAATTCTGCACTTTGCTTTATAACGAATGCATCTGTTTTGAATTTTTAATTAGCTCTTGCCAACACAATTCACAAAGCTACGCATTGTAAATGTATATTGTGGAATATTGTTTATAAAAGGAAACCTGTTTTAGGTAAAACAAATAATCAGGCTATCAAAAAACACGCCCATCCATGGCTGCTAATGGTCTTGAATAGACTTTGCAGGCTTGCTGAATGGACTGAGAATGCGGGCTTCGAACTGTCCATGAATACGAAGAATTATCATTATTGTTCAGTTTTTAGATTTCCTTTTTTAACTTTGAGTCCCTTATATTTTAATCGCATTTGTCAATTATGTTTAAGCTGCAAATTGAATTTGATTTTGAACATTTTCTTAATATTTTGCATAAAGTTATTTACAAGAATATACATATATGGATTGGAATCCAATTTTTTTTAACAAAATGTATCAGAAATCTCTCATTATGGGATTTGTTTTGAATCCTCAAAAAGTCAGTAATTGACGCCTCTTCCCAAATTTGGATTTCGAAGGATATTTTTACAATCTTATTGACAACACATACTTACAAAGGTAAGTAGAAGCAGCCAAATTTTAGGATAATAGCTATTAAGACTTTTCTTGATCGGTCCTGCTTCGAATGTTGGCAGCTGTAGGATATATATTTGTTTTAATTTAATTTGGCATTAAATGGGTTATAAATTAGTAATATGTATATAGTACTATGGAAATCTATATGTATCTAGTATGTTGGTGTGCTCGTGGAACGACGATTATTTTAGTTAAATGGCTGTAGTGGGGGAAAGGGGTGGTTGCAGGATATTCAAGAGTCGGGCCGGCCTGAACTTGAATTAAGTAAGTATTGTCTTTTGTAGCGCTGTCATTCGTTCTTGCATTGCTGATTATCCATTGAATTCTCTGAACTGTGAATGGATTCTGCGCTTTTATCTGAATGCGTTGTACACAAATATATTTATTTATAATAAAGTATAGTATGTAGGATATATTGCTCGCAGACTCAAATCTGTTTATCACTTCCGCTTCTTGTGGCATTAAACAAAAGACCTTGTGGTGCAACAAACTGCACGAAAAGTGTTGATAATCGCAGCTTGCTGACTAATCAATGGAAGAAATAAGTGAATTGTTTCTACATATCGTGATAGTTTATTGTATAAGGGCCACTTTTTAAATAAAATCTGACTAATGAGTGCAAGATCGGCATACAGATTAGTTGCAATTCGAATAACAATTCATCGTAAGTGCTTTACGTGTCAAATCGAATTACAGAGCTATCTTATTCCAGATTAGTTTCTATTCGGGCTGTGGAAATTTTATGGCCACTTTCCACTCATTGAACGAGGGGCATATGTACATACTCTTATGTACAAATACATACATATGTGAAAATATTAGTCAACTCGCATAGTCACTCTAGCAATCAGTTTATTTACAGAACTGAGCTCAGTCGTTGGATGTGCGTTTTGTGAGTCAGCTTCAAGCCCGGTAGGTGGGGGCAACACCTGAGCTTAATTAGTGGATGTATGTGATGGCCGTATATAAGAAACAAAACAACAATGCTCGAGCTGTTCACATTTTTTTATACTGCGCACACTTTCGGAAAGGAAATTAAACGAAACTCGAAAAAGGTCACGCAATCCGTAGCGACAGCGACCCGTAACTGAAGTCAAAGCCCCCCTCGGTGTACCCACACGCGTACACTGAAAGAAAAGTGGCCTATCCTAACTTCACCTCGAACCGTATTTTAAAATGCAAGTATGAAATCGGCCCAATGGAGATAGTGATATTGTTTCAGGTATGCAAGAAAGGCCAGAACCGAGAGAGAGACGTGAATTGTTTTAATTATGGATCTATTTGAAATGAATTTTAATTGAATTCTAGTTTCTTTCCACCTGGAATGTGGAATGTGGCTTGGATTTACGAAATCGATGCCCAAAACTAAAAGTCCGATTCTTGACTTTTGAAAAAGGAAATGGGAGTACTGAACGCTAGTAAAAACAGACTGATTTTCAGTCAGATTTGTCCAGATTGGAAATGTACTCAACATAGTGGGTCTTCCAAGATAACCCCACTTGTATCCCCGTTTGCCATCGACAAAAAGAATCGACGCAATCGTTTTTTAATTAGACACTTCCCAGCTCCACTAAGTAAGTCGAAAAGAGAGTTAAATCATATACGATTTTTCTCCGTGTGTATGTATATTGCCCACATTGGCCAATTTGTTGTTGTTTTTTGGGTTCTTATGTTAATGCATGTGGGTGTGTATGGCCATGTGTGTGTGTGTGTGTGTGTGTGTGAGAGAGATAGAGAGAGTGTCTGCTTTGTTAATTATGCCTAATTGATTTTAATTTCGTTTACAACTCGGCTGCACTGCGGGCTACCCTTCGAATTCGAGTTTACAAAAGTGTTAAATGCACTTTACATTGAAGTGTGGCGAGAAAGGTCAAGAAACTGTCTTCGAGTTAATGCCACTACTTGAGTGGCTGCTCAGGCACGTCTCCGCCGGTGACTTCCCGCCCCCACCCCCACCTACTCGCCATGCACAATTGACCCCAAACTCATTTGGCATAATTTAGAAATTACTTAATTGAAACGTCTTCGGATGCCGTGCGCATTAGAAAATGTTCTACTGAGAACTCACAAGCTTTGGGGCTGGGCTGGGAAATGGAAAGATATCTACATATGTATGTATGTATGTCTGTCTGTCTGTCTGTCTGTCTGTCTGTCTGTCCGTCTGTTAACAATGGTGGAGGGATGTGTGTGTCATAAAAGAGAGAATAAAACGGCTATGAAAATAAAATGATTGCTATTAAGTGAATGGCAATTGTTTGGCAGCAGCGTGCGGGCGTCTGATAAATACTTATAGGCGGAGCTAAATGAGTTCGTTATGCCTATAAAGAACTACTCATATAAAGATAAATGCATAAGTAAAATTTAAAGTTGTTTACCGATTCATACATAAGTATGAAGTTAGATAAATGCACGACTTAGAGAGCTGCATGAAGACACCCTTTTGAATGAACGAATACTTTCCTTCTTGAGGTCAAACGAAAGTAACGGTCCAATTTGATCTTTTCTCACGATCTATTCAGTTGTTATTGTGAAAATTCTGCATTTGCTTGGTCTTTGCATTCAGCCACTCAGTAGTGCGCGTGCACTCATTCATTCATTTTTTTGGTTCTCTCGATATTGCAGATGAATAGAATAGTACACGACTGCAGAGACACATATATATTTCGTATTAGACGTCTGCAATACGTTTCCCTTTGGCCAGAGTAAACGAATGCAGGCTAAATTATTTATTTACATACTTGATATATATCTAAGATTAGGCACAACCATATTTTGTTCACCGACAACTTTAACGTAATAGGATATACATTTTACCTATTGAACTCTGTTTTTCGAAAGGATTGGATATTTGAGATTCTTAGCCTGGCTCAGAGTTGAGAAAAGCTGATGCTTAAATAGTGAAAGAATTCGACAGCACAGAGCAGTCGATAAAGTACAAAAGGAAGCTAAGTTTAAGAAAATAATTTTAAGAAAGTTTAGTATTGGACACAGCTCAACCTTAAATTATTTTTAATTTAACACTCATTCGTATATATTCTTTTCGTTTGATCCCAATCATAATATTTGCCATATTTGAATAGGTTATTCGATGCTCTCTCTTGAGTCTAGGCAATCAATATTAAGAATTCAAAATATGCTATAAATGATCTCATCACTCAACAATATAAATAAAAATGTTTCATATCAAAAATGTTTCTGATTTGTTTGAATATCAAAATATATCACACATCTGTTGGACCGCAGCATTCAGTGTTGTGCTCTGCAATATTTGGCAGAAATGGGGCGATATTTACGCTCAAATATTAATCACTCATGCATACATGTACATACATACATATAAATGTTTAGATTCGTATGTAAGAGACAGTTGTTAATTGCATTTGTTGGCACAACAATGTAAAGTCGACACGACCTGCCAACAACCTGTTTGCGTTGAATTTTGTGCGGCTACTACGCAGCATTTAAAATGACAGCAATGTGGAGGCAAGCAGATACAAGTGTGGATAAATAATACGAGTCTATCAAAAACAAGAACAACAACAACAACAACAACAACAATAGGCATTTCTATGATGCTATCTTTGTGGTAACACGCCCCGCATACAGATGAGGGAACCGCAAACGCATGCCGAAGCATAAAAGCCATCACATAACTCACACACTTATATAATAGTACATATTTTATTAAAAAACTGTTCATAAAACGAAGTTGCGTTCATCGCTGGCTTGTGTGTAGTTTGTAAATCGCCAACAAATGATGGCCTATGAGAAAACGTAAATAAATAAGAAATTTTTGGCTGACATCAGCAGCGCCAAACACGTTTAGAAAATACCAAAAAATATACTCGACGTATGTATACATACTATATATACATACTTAGGTATATGTGTGTTTGTGCAGTATATAATAAAATTCTAAAACAAAATTACGTTAACGTCGCTTGCGGCAGCAACATAAATTAAAAACTGAACACGCAATGGAAACCACTCGCAGACTCACTCACTCACTCGCTCCCTCACTGCCTCACTGCCTCACTCTCTCAGTCGCTCACGCACTCGCTCTTGCGCTCAGCCGTCAGGCAGGCAGACAGGCAGGCAGGCAGGCAAGCAGTTGCGTCGCTCACTCACTCGAAGCTGTTTTGAGTCAATCGAGTGCGCTTGGAGATACATGGGTGCGGGAAAGGCAGGCCGGCAGAGGGAGTGGGAGCGGGAGACGCAGAGGCCGTCAGGAGGGGGAGGAGGGGACGTTGTTGCTTCAAACGCTGACATTATTCGAATTTGTCCAGTGCTGAGGCATTCAGACGTACAGTAGACGGCGTGCCGTGCAGTTTTGTTTGTGTCAAGGTCTGTGGCAGCACTTCGAAAATAGAAATTCATTCTTGAGATAATTTGTAATATTTGTTGTATTTTGGCAAGGCAGAAGAATTTTGAAGAGCAACAAGAAAAATGGTGTCAAGTGTGAAGTATTTGCTGGCTGTTGTCATTCTGGCCAGTGTGGCATGCACGGGTAGGCATATGTTTGAAAATTAAGGATATCCAAAAACTCATTTGATCCTCCGCCAGCCTTCGCCCTCAAGTGCTATCAATGCGAATCGCTGACCAACTCAAAGTGTGGCGAGAAGTTCGAAGCCGACGATAGCCTCCTCCTGGACTGTGCCCGCATCACCCCGCCACGCTTCCTGCAGAACTTCTTCCCTGTGCGCAATGCCACCGGCTGCATGAAGAAGACCATCGAAGGACGTAAGTACCTCCACCTCCACCTCCCCATGCCACCTCACACACTATCCGGGTCGGGTTTCAGTCTCCCAAGCACCCCCAGTCTTAGTTACAGTCAGTGATGTCAATCGCCGATATGATGTCATGCCTCTGCTTTTGTGTCTCATTTTTTCGACGACTACTGTACTAATCCGAGGGGGTTATGCTTGGCGGGCTCACCACACCCACTCGCATAAAACGGAGCACGCTCGGCTGTTTTTGATACGTTTTTAAACAATTAGCTTCATTAGTTAGTGGACAGTGTGGGCGCAAGAAATTAACAATTAGACGAATATTATTATCATACTTGTGGGTAATTAATTTAGGTGTGAAACGGCTAATTCAATCTCCAGCCCGAAACAAATTTCCACTTTCTCGTCCATCCTATGCTAATTTATGGAAGCAGCTCCACAAAAGGCGCCATCAAGATTCACTTTTACGCAACAAACTGGGTTGGGAAGGTCTCTGTGGATAAATTATAATGAGCTGAAGCCGGAAATGCAGAAAAAGTTAATTCCCTCGTTGCCTATTTAATAGACTGAACACAATTTATTTTGCTGATTAAACATAAATTAAAGCTAAGATTTTTGGGATAAACTGGTAGTTATCACATTGTTGGTTGTTCATCTCATTGTAAATAACTTTTTGAACGTTATGGTCTTTTTTTTTTTAATTCTGTATTTTTTGTGCGCAATTTTTTGGCTTGCAATGATATTCTTGCAAAATTCTCTTCTCAGATAAACAATGCCAATAAATGATAGGCTTTGCTTTAAAAAATGTGGCTTAGAAAAGAATTTGGCACAATTGTTTGCAATTTAATCAAAATGTCGCCAAGAGTGTTTTTAGTTTGCTTTTTTGTTTTTCAAGAGAAAAAGTTAACATACTCCTAAATTGAAATGAAAAGCATCCACAAATTTCTTAATAATAACCCTAAAATGGGCCAAGGACCTACTGAAACGACTGCAGACAGAATTCATAAGACACATCTTTTAGCGAAATTACGCAGATTCGAGTGTTATATATACTTGTATGTATATGGAATTTTTGAGAATATTGTGATATTGAAATATAAGCATATTCAAAAGCACGCACAAGCTGGGCAGAATTATGAATTATTATTAGGTATATCGGAACTGTATAGGAATACAAATTTATATAGCAGCGCCCGCACTAAAAATACAGTAGGGGTTCCCTATAACAGCTTCAAAAATCAGTAAAATAAGTAAATAAGAGGCGAACACCATTCAAAATAATAACAAAAGCCCAGGCATCTGATATTTCCATAAAAGTCAAATAAAAATGAACAGAACATTAGCTTCGTGTGTCTTTTGAGACTCGAATCGCTGTTCGATTTTGCATATTTTGCATATTACTTTGATTGTGTTTTGGTTGCGAAAGCAGGCGTCGCAGATTTATGTTTTGAATTGTTTTTACTGCCGAATGCCTCATCGGTTTCGGGCCGCTCGCGTCGCTGGCATTGAAGCGGGCAGCTGTCGGTTTGTTGGAGAAACAGACACACAATATTTTCTAAAAATTGTTTATACCATACTACATATACTTGTATACTACAAGTATATATGTGCATAGTCATCTGCTTATTTCAATATTTATAAAAGAAATTGTGTGTCAATTCTGCTGAGCAGCTCTTGCTCTCAGTTCTCTCGCACCACTGCCGATTACCGCATAAATAGTTTAGCAATTATATTAATTGATTTAGCTTTGGCTTGCAAATGGGACAACGATATGCAATTAATTGGCCTGCTATGAGTTAACGCTTATTAATTGTTCACAGCAATTGCACTGCCCTGCGCCCACCAACTTGTCATTATTCGTGTATATCTGACATACATACTCGTGCGGGTATTTGTTTTTTATTTTCAGTGCAATTGTTTACTTTGCTGTGAGTTTTGTTTTCTGCTACTTTTTTACATCTGCTTAAGATCTCAAGGTTAATTTATTTAACCCGTCAATGCCAGTTAAATTAATGAGTCTTGCAACATGATTTCTTTTTCGCATATTTAGGCAAATACATTCATTTTCTAAAAATGTTGTTTTGGTATCCCAAAATTCATGACTTATTCAAGAACATTTAATTTTAATAGAGCTCTGGATTTCGTCTGGCGCTGCCAATTTGATTCTTTTCGCTTTAAATTAAAGAGTTCTCCAGGTTCTGCACAACTCAACATTTCATTGTGTACTCATGTAGGAAACTAAAATCGCGGACTTTCCAATGATATATACTACTTCCGACCTTTCCCAAAATCATTGCAACACTTCATTTAAAATATGATTAATATTAAATAAATAATATGAACTAAACAAATCAAAGCAAATGTGCCTAGAAACTGTAGACCGAATTGGCATACTCGTGAACAACCATAACTAGATTATATACAGTGATAACTCCCTTATCCGGACACTCTAAAGTATTTAAATATGCCCTAAATCGGACACTCCCCTTGGGCGGACAAGAGAGTTTTCACTGCACAGCCATGGACATTGGTGGGTGGACACGACGTCTTGGACTGGTTCCTATACTTGTATGGCACTCAAAATAGGAGTTTACCTTAACCGTCTCTACCTAATGTTTTATAATATATACCACATGAGAAAGAAGAGCATTTAATACCCTATTTCACTTAAGTGCATAAAAATATGACCCGTTCGATTTGTTAATCTTCTTTTTATTACTTGTACATGCTGTTCCAGCGAATGTTGCTTTTTCGCATTAATTGGAGTATTAGTTTGTTGTAGAAACACAAAGCCGTTAATGGGTTAAGGCAATTAATGTTAATTCCAACAATGCGCATTAAAGTGCATTTTCACAGTTACAAGTATTGTAGTTGGATTGTAAAAACTAACTACAAATACCAAACTGGTTGGAAGCAAAAGCAATTAAAGCAGTCAGTTAATAGAAAATTTCAAAAACAGCGCGAAATCGATCCGATAGTCACACATTATAGGTACACTCAGATGCATACATATAGGCATCTACAGCTTAAATGAAGCATGAAAAGCAGCGTTGCAAATTCCATCTACAATAAGTCTCAAAAGTGCCGGCTATTCGCTGACGCATTGCCTTAATTAGCATATCCAGACAAAAGTTAGTCAGCAAAATGGTTGAAAACACGAAAATTACAAATATTTTCTTTATCTCCACAGTGCCCGGCAAGCCGCAGATTGTGCGCAGCTGTTTCTTCGGGGATGTCAGCAACACCTTCAGCGGCTGCCAGTCCGATCCTTCGCTGCCCTTCGTCAAGCAGCTGAGCTGCGATGTCTGCAGCAAGGACGAATGCAACAGTGCCGGCTCCCTGGCACCCATTGCAGGCGCCATCCTGCTGTTCTTCGGCGTCGCACGAGTGCTCTCCTAAGTCTGTCTCGGACTAAATACTTGAACATTCACAGAAGAATCTCAAGAGCTACATATAAACATACATATGCAATACCTATGTGTCTTAAATGTTGTGCGCTTTATAAATACGAAATGATTTTATTTTCTCCCCCCTTTTTGCAGAACATACAAATTTCATATTGCTACGTTATTTTTTTATAAATCTTTGTACACCTGGCAAAGCATTTTGCAACAATAAAATCGCTTAATTTATTCCCAAACCCATCCAGAGTTGTTTATTTTGGGAAAGTTGGGTAAGTATTTCAGAAAACTTAAAAGTGGAGAAGGATCATCTCTGTCCGCCTGCCAGCACGATCTTCTCGATACACAAAAACTATGAATAATAGGTTTGGCTTAGATATATAATTATCTTATCATAAGTGCATCTCCATTTTTAGGCAAACAATTCAGCAGATTTTGTTGTCGTTCCATTCTACACTGAATTTTCAAATACAACTTTGGATATATAAAATTTCACTTTTGCTAAAATTTTTGAATTTGGAACCTTATAAATATTTCATAGACAAGTTTATTTAATGTCTTATGTAAGTATGTCTTCCCACGGCACAAATGTTAAGCAAACAACTATGCTAAATATTGAAATTATTAACATATTCCTACTACTTATGTATATGTAAGCCGTTTTATGAATGTAAATTTGATCGAACCCCGCTTTTAAAAGGCCGTTATGACTTGAATTAAAGAAATGTCTTTCGTTTCCGCTTTCAAACTAACAAACATTTTGAATATTTTATAGGTCTAATGAAATGATGGCCAAACACGTTTCCAAGACTGTAACCAGATGTGGCTTCGAGTATTACGTAATATTTAAATGTAAGCCTGGAAGTATGCAATGGTTATGTACTAATATTGTTAGCTGAATCCCCCTTCCTGGCATACTTAATAACAAGTGGAGAAGCTCAAGTTGGGTTTACCGACTCTTTTAAATACTCTGTACATATGTGCATAATAATTATAAAAATCAAAACAATTAAAAAATAAAACAAACTTACACAGCTTACACACTAACACATCTTTGTGCAAAATTTGGTGTCTCTAGCTCTTATAGTCTCTGAGATCTAGACAGACAGACAGGCAGAATAAACATACTTTTTGGGGTATATATATTATATTTTTCACTTCCCGCAAACCTAATATACAAGGTGTGTTCCAAAGTAAACAGGACTTAAAAAAAAAATGGTTTTTTCGGCAAAACCAATTTATTTTATTCAAATTAGTCTCCTTCTGATCCAATACAGCTTTTTGCGCGATCCAAAAGCATGTCGAACGAGTGTTTTAGCTCGTTGGCCGCCAGTATGCCGGTGCAGGCCTTTTGAATGGCCTCTACGTCTGTATAACGCTTTCCTTTCATGGGCAAATGCATTTTTCCGAAAAGATAGAAGTCGCACGGTGCCATATCAAGTGAATACGGCAAGTGGTTAATGGTTAAAATGTGATTTTTGGTCAAATAATCGGTCACAAGCGTCGATCAATGAGAGCAATTTTTGGTCGTCAGTCAATTTGTGCGGAACAAACCGTGCACACACCTTTCGTAAGCCCAAATGTTCGGTCAATTGTTCAATTCCATTTCCATCAATTTTAATGATGATTTCGGCTAATTTTTGATGAATTCACGCACAGTTTCGATGGAATTTTCGGTGATTGCGAATTTTGATTGGCCCACATGTTGACGGTCATTTATGTCCTCACGACCACTTTGAAAACGTTGAAACCACTCGTGCACTCTGCTACGGGATAGGCAATCTTCGCCATAAACTTGTTCCATCAATTGAAACGTTTCGGTAAAAGTTTTACCAATTTTAAAACAAAATTTAATGTTGGCTCTTTGTTAAAAGCTCATCGGACCGATAACACAAACATACTGACACTGAAAACGCAATAACTTCACTTCCAATCGATGAAATGTTAAGAAATTCTCACTAGACAATCGATAAAGATAGCAGTTTCTAACGCACATATAGATAGCGCCACCAGGGGGCGCTAGATTCAAAAGTCCTTCAATGGAAGTTGAAGATGTTTAGTATCACATTCAAAGGTTAAACGTTGTTTTGAACACAAAATAACTAATATATTTTAATCTATGTTGAAAAGCCATTCATGATAGCTTTAAATATAACTGCCATTTACACTTTATTATGTTCATATTAAGAGGATAGTGTTGAACACCTCCTCTTTCACCTTCCAGCTCTAAGCAGTTGCAGGTTCTCTGCCCTGGGTAGAGCATACCTGAATGATCTCAGAGCTGAAAAAGATTTAGTTTATAGACACAGTCAATTTCATAAAAAGCACGGGGTGGTTGAAGTAATTGAGATGAGATTTTATTGTATCACAATGGCCTTTTAGACCTAAGTGGGAGGATGATCACCATCACCCCGGCCATTATAACCTATGTTGTTTTTTTTTTATATATATTTATTAAGTATTTTTATTTATTATGTGTACACCTAAAACTCAGTTGGTGCCTGTCTGTTTGTCTCTAGGTGTATCTATCGTGTTTAGTAGTTCAATTCATTCTACAGTATTCTGGACCTCTCCCTTTGGACTGGAAAATTAGCTCTCTGTAGCTTTGTAGTATGAAAATACGACGCAGATAAATGTTCAATTTTCAAATCTAGCGAGATCATACAAACACGATATTGATAGTCCGAATAGAATAATAGGGGTTTGGTTAAAAAATACATTCAGCAGAAATGAGGTCAATTTACTAGATTTTGGAAGAAACTTCTGGAAAATGATTACAGATTTTCCAATGTTCTTTTAAGAATTAATAAACACTCTAAAGTCGAATTTTAAATGATTTCGAAATCACGAAATACTTATGATTCTTATGCTTACAATGAAGTCGCTGCGAAGCAGTGCGCCGGTCAAGCAGCGCAACAGTCGAAATGTGTTTTTTAAGTATTTCGGATGGCACGGCGCCCAAAGCAGTCCTCAATGCATCATCGAGTAGGCAAAAATATGAAATATGCACATATACTCGTACATATGTATGTATGTATTTACAAATAAAAGAAGCGGATAAAAGCTGTCCGTGCGTGAGTGACTACAATTAAAGCTCCCAGAGACCCACACGCACACACATGTGTGTTTGTGAATGTGACTTTGGCATGCTCTTTGGCGAGCTCTTTGGGAAAGAGAGAGAGGGCAGGCAGGCAGGCAGGCGGGCAATGGAAGAGCTGCTCCATGCTTTTCCGTTACATACTCGCAGGCATCTAGTATATTGGCCGCATATTTTGTAGTTTTATTAAACGAAAAGAGTTGCGCGCGTCTGCGGAAAATTCATTAAATTTAGACAGACAAAAACAACAACAGAAAGGAAAGAACATTTCTTTCTGCTGGCCAGCGCGCACACGAGAGCCAAAGCCAAGGAGTTGAATTTGGAAATGCTTTGGCATTTTTCAGTACAATTTCGAACGCGGTCGCTGACTGACTGCCGTCGCACTCATCGCGGCACACCGGAAAAACGACAACAACCGCAACCGCAACAGCAAAGCAATAGCAACAACAACAACAAGAAGAGCGAAGACGCTGACAAATCAGACAGCGTGTTGTTGTCTGTGTCTGTCGGTGGGAAAAGTGAAGGAAAATTGCCAATGCGAAAAGCTTGAGTGGCGGTGCGGGGGCAAGAGGCCGACACGCGTGTTTACGTTTTCGTTTCGTTACGTGCGGCTGCCTTTTGAAAGATGTAAAAATAATTTATAGAAAAATATTGTATATTTTTTGCTGCACAAATATACATGCATACATACATACACACTCGTAGTCGTACATACTTATGTGCCAGCACTTCGAATCGTTTTTATAGCGCTGTGTGAAAAACATTTATAAATACGAAGTGAGGAAAGAGTTTTCCAAAATTGGCCAAAAGACAGCAACACCAACAGCAGCAGCAGCAACAGGCGACTTGCCGCCCGATTATACATTATTATAGCCTTCCCATACATATACCTGAATATATATATTCGTCATTATGCAGTATTTACTTTTGCTGTCCGCCTGCGTCGCCTTCCTTTCGTCAGGTCTGTACTATACCGTTTAGCCTATAAATCATGTAGAACTCACGACTCGCTCCGCTCTTGGCCAACAGCTTACGCCATCAAATGCTTTGCCTGCGAATCTGTCTACGAATCGAGCTGTGGCGAGAATTTCGAAATGGAAAACCATTTCAAATATGATTGCGCATTTATAGCGCCGCCACGTTTCCTCGAGAACGAGCTGTCGATGCCAAATGCCACGGCGTGTGTGAAGCGCGTTTTCAAGGGTAAGTGTGGGGCCAATTAATTAATTATTAGCCACAGGCCAACCCTTTTTTCATTCCGCACTAAGTACTATGTTCCTCATTTTTATGCCATTGTACCGAAAGGCATAGATTATTGAAAGTCAAGAGTAAAGTTAAAACCGTTCATTTATTCAACTATTCATCCATTGAACTTCCATAATATCCCACGTTGTTCATATGCTGACCAATTTATTCAGAATCCATAGATGTACTAAATGTACATAGATTCGTAGAGGAATTAAATGCTTTTAGAACTTTTTTTATTATAATGCAACTTACTTATGTATTTTTACAAAGCAACTGCAAACATTTAAGTCTTTTTATACCCTGTACCCGTAGGGTAAAAAGGGTATATTAGGTTTGTGCAAAGTATGTAACATACAGAAGGAAGCATCTCCGACCCCATAAAGTATATATATTCTTGATCAGCATGACGAGAGAAATCGATCTAGACATGTCCGTCCGTCTGTCCGTCCGTCTGTCCGTCCGTCTGTGCGTCCGTCTGTCCGTCTGTCCGTCTGGATGAACGTGAGGATCTCAGAAACTATAAAAGCTAGAATAACCAAAGTTGGCATCCAGATTCTCCTAGGTCCGAGTAAGGACGAGTTTATTTTATTTTTTTTAATTTTCCTTGTTTTTTTTGTTACCTCCAGTTCCAGTTTCCAGTTTCCTCTAAAAATGATTACTGAATACCGTAATTTCATTCATATTTTGTGGAAATTCCTAAAACTGTTCGGTAGACAGGCACGCCTTGGCATGACTTGGCTTTGCATTTAAGAATTTCTGCAAAAGCTTTAGAGACAAGAAAGTGGAAGAGATAGTACAGTTTCAAGGGCAACCCTTTCTAAATGATCGCACAGATCAAACCAAGGGCATTATATTGCATTCGAACAGACCTCTTCAGGTCTCAGTGTGTTGCCAAAATATAGCTTCTGTGAAATATTTTCATATATTTTCACAGATGTAAGCAAATTTTCCAAGTTCCAAATAAAAATACAGTTTCACAAAATTAGAATTCCTTATTCTATAAAAAATGTTAGCGACAATTGCAAAACAAATGATTTGCATAGCAACAGAACAAAGTAGTCCGAATAGTAAACGCATTTATATGAAGCTATTTGTTGAGTATGATGGCTTCTTAGAGCAAGCGAAACTCTATTTTTAATAACTTTAATTCAACGCTTCAAGAAAGGTTGCTACAAAGCTACAAAGCAAAGAAAGTATGTATTTAACACCGCTGGGATCGATGTCGAACTAACTCTACATACTGTAGTGCTGTTTCAAATAGAAATATCTAGACAAACTGATATGCTTTAAAAAATTAATACAAAATATAGTTAACACCACGAAAGGTTATTAAAGGAACTTAATAACTAAATGGGCAGGTCTGTGCATTAACTTCATAAACAATGTATGAATACTCTTGATCAAATAATAAATTTTGTTAGCAGCTATAAATAATATAAGTATTGGACTAAACTTAATACATACTGATGGAATCAATCAATGACTTAAGGACCTACATTACGTGTAAACTCAATCGTATTTTCTATCACATGAAGGTACGAGTACAAGGGGCTTCATAAATATAGCATACTTTTCTGGTTTGTTACTACGTTTACATAAAACATAACGTGACATAAATAAATTAATTACTATTTGCTTCCTCTGCATCAAGTGCAAGTTTTCTACAATTCTCTAAAGATATTATATGATGATATGATATGATTTCACATTTAAAAGATGAAGAAAACCCGAACCGCACGCCGTTGAACATCACGGCTACAGTAAATAGTTCAAGTACTAGATCAAGAAACGGATGTATATATGTACTTATAAAGAGACGTACTCGCAGATTTTTGTTTGACTTTCAGCTCACCCTGTAAACCATTGATCTATTAATGCATCAATGGATTTTACGTGTAAACATGATGCAGCTTCCTATACATGTCTATCTATTTATATGTTTTATGTATATAGTATAGATAATTCTATGCGATTTGTTTCAACTTAAAGATGTACCAGTTTTTACAAAAACGTTCATTCCAGCGGACATAAATACACTCGTAATTAATTTAATTCAATTTTAATGCACGCAGAGTCTACATACTTTGCGATGCAAGAGAGAACGCATTTTAGCTACGGCTCTCTTAATTGTTACCATTACTCTCTACTTTTCCCTTGCTCTCTTATTGCAATCGGTAAAGCTGCACTTCAAAGCTTAAAGCCATGTGTTCGGTTGGCCTTGAACGTATTGCACGGCCTTGGTGCGATCTCTTTTGAAATCAGATTAAAAACGTTTAATGTTAGTTCAATTTTGAATTTGTTCTGTTATTTGTTTAAAAGTACTTAATGTTCAATAATTAAATTTCATGTCGAAAGAACTTTAGGCATTTAAGTTTTCAGAGAGCGTAGGTGTTTGACTTTTGCAAAATATTCGAGAATAATAAAGCTTAAATAATGTTTGACGGGTGTTTATAAGTAGTACTACCCATATTCCCACTTTTTAAAAAAGTTCTTGATTCAGACTGAAACTGAACAGAAGTGCATTCTATTGACAAAAAATGATTAAACAATTTTGAGAAGGGTTTCTACGATTAGGAGATTTAAGCAAACACTTTTCTACAATTCTTGTTTTAAACAATTGGCCTTCTTTCATTCTTCCCGCAAAAGAGCGCCATTTTCTTGGGGTATTAGTTGGCTGCAAGGTGTTGGAATTAATTATATTTGTTTGTTAATGACGAGCATCGCAAATGTCGAAACAAAAATCCTTAATCGCCGATAATTCAGCTGTCTGGCGTTTGACAGCCGCAGTGGCTCCCAATGGCAATGAAACCGCGCGCCCATTGCCCTTTGCATCGATTCAATGACACAAGCAACAGTTGTTGTGGGCTGCCAGGGCGGCGCCTACACTGATATGTGTTACTCCCCTCGAGGGATGCAAGAGTCCACTATGTGGTGTTCACGTCAGCGCTTTAAATAGATTCGTGTCCGCCACATAATTCAAGAAAAGGGCAGCTTAAATGCTAGCGGCGCTAGATTAGCATTTCTCGTGTAATATATTGATATACAAGTATACTCGTACTCGTACATATGTATATATGGAGAATCATATCGTCTCTATTTTTGTTTCAATTTTCGTTTCAATGACAGAGCACGGCGTACAGAAATTCGTGCGGGGCTGCTACTTTGGTGACGTCAACGAGACCGACATTGGCTGTCGTCTGGACCCGTCGCTGGTGGCCGTGCAGGACGCCAGTTGCCACGTCTGCTACAACGAGAACTACTGCAATGGAGGGGAGTCCCGGACACACGAGGGCATAGAGTGGAAGATGTTGTCACTGTTTGTGTTTATTTTGGCCTCTCGCGTACTCAAGCTTGGCTAATTACTCGCAGGTGATACCATTAGGGATGCCAACGCCCCAATCTAGGCCGCGAAAAGACAATCAACAGGGCGTATGAGCAACAAAATATTAACTAGTTATATAGTTGGAAATATGTAGTAGTTGGAGAATAAGAACACACACACACACAAACACACTAAACACACAAACATACAACACATGAGCGCAATACAAATAAACTAATAAAAAATAATTTTAGAAGCTAATTTGTTTATTTATTCAATAACACTAATGAACTTTTGCTGCTGGCCAGCCATTCCGATGAATGGCAATAGAATGGCGGGATGGAGGATTGGGGGAAGAGAGGAAAGAGGGAGGCGAAGGCAAGGGCGCGTCACTATTACCGCTCCCACACAGAACCGCAGCAATGTTTTATGTCAACGTGAATATTTCATTCTATACTTCTTTGTTTTTCAATATTATTTTTCGCCTATCAAACGCCTCTCATTTCGCATTGTATACTTACTAGTCGTGTATGTGAAGAAAATGGAAATCTTTATGAAAATGTTCATTCAGATTTCGTGCCATTTTATGCTCAGTCTGGCCAGAGCACGACGAGGCAACGGTTCTACTTACGTACCATGTGTTGATTCGCACGGTAATCGCTCGACAAACCCCGCACCGCCTCAGCTCTTCAGCCTCTTCCCCCTCCCCATATGAGAATGCGCGTGCCTATCTCGCTGTGGCTGCTGGCCACGTTCGCCACTGCAGGTGAGTGACGAGCGATTGTCTAGAGCCGAAAACGATAAACAGAACAGAAAATCAGATATACTGTATACTGGTTGCTATAATGCCGTCATCTCGGTCAGCCTTTGCCATTTCATGCTACGAATGCGACTCGATCAATGACAAATATTGCGGCGAAACCTTCATTCCCGACGACATCGCGCAAACCGATTGCGATGCCCTGCAGGTGCCCGAACGCCTTCAACTCTACTATCCCCAGCGACCCGCCACCGCCTGCCTGACGAAGTTCTACGATGGCCGTAAGTACCACCAAGTACCCAGTGGTGCCCAATTGTAAATGCACTTCTACTTGTATTTCTACATGCCACTTATATTCTGCAGTGCCGGGCGAAAAGTATTTCATTCGTCGTTCCTGCTACTTCGGCAATATAGCTGATTCATTGTTTACGTGTGACGAGCATCCGGATCCGTTGGTGCCGTATCTTAAGTTCTTCGGCTGCTTCGCCTGCGACGATGATCTGTGCAATGCCAGCGCTCGCGGCATTATATCGTGGACTACAGTCCTAGCTGGCCTACTGCTTTGGCTTTGGATGCACTGAGTTGGTAATGAAGAAATGATTTAAAAATAGTTTAAACAATTGTAATTAACCAACAACAAATAACTGAATGGTGAAAAGTATGCATTAAACGATACAATATGTGTATGTTCCTAAACCAAACAAGTTTCAATCGCTTTGAATTATGCAAAGAAAACATCATCTTGCTATGTCTGAGCTCTCAAATTTTTGCTCGAGTCAGCTTCTTGACCGTCATACACCTTCGTAGCCGATTTATGAAATTAAAATTTAATTAAAAATGAAATGTATTCAAATATGATTTCATTTCTTAGTAATACATATGTAATATGCCACTATGTGACGTTAACTAATTGCGAATTAAATGTGTGGATGGGTTTTCAAACAAACAACTCTAAAACTTAGAAATCTGAGTCACAAACTCTCGCATTCGCGTCTGGTTTTTGAGAAACATGGCAGCGATATTTTAAGTATTCATATTTCTTGGCTACAGACATTCTACACTGAAGAGATTGTTGAAAAACTAAATTGTCAAAAAATTACAGGTTAACAGGATAAACTTTAACTCTTAACAGCGTTTCCCTCTGCAGCTTCAACTTAACAGCGTTTCTCATGGATCCATAGCACTTGACAGCTTAACAGCTAACAGTGTTACACTTATCAGCGTTATGCTTAGCGCGACACTTAACAGCATTTCTCTTAAAAACTTAACATACACGTACAATATGATAGTATTTAACAGCGTTACTTCAACAGTTTCGCTTTCATTGAAGCTAAGTATGTCGACCTAAAACAGAATAGATTGTATATACAAGTACTAGTTTAAATGGGATAATAAAATATATAATACGCAGATATCAATGAATTATATGTGCTTGTACCAAGCCGAGCCTTTCTGGTAACAATAATAAGAATAACAGTTCATAACTAGTACAGACTTCTGCTGGATAGTGGTCTGAGAACCAGTACGGACTGCGAATCGATGGTATTTGATCTAAAAAGAAGGTCATAGAAATGCCAGATTGGGGTAAGAGAATAAGTTAAGCTACATACTCTTTCAACCGCTGGCTTGCTACACGCTTTAAATAGATTAGTCGCATATACTATGTATCATATATTGCTGGGGCTATAGTTTGAAATCACTGAAAACACATTGAAGTAACTCTAAAATGATTTTCAACATTGTTGTTGTATATGTTTTTATTGTTTTATACATCCACTAAAATGATTTAACATACACATATATATATATATATATATATATATATATATATATATATATATATTTATATATAAATAATCCGTTTGTTGAATTAAATGTAATGTACGCATATATGCTTTTTATTGTAAGCTTTCATCGTCTACTATATTCTTTCTTTCCATATATGATAGTTTATACTCGTATGTATTATTTTAGATGTAATGCTCTTTATCAGTTAAGCAGTTAGGGTGTGTCGGCAAAAAGGCGACACATCTATGGAGAAGCAAACATTTACACAAACACATTTATTCATAAATATAATAATTTCAGTTGTCAATAACAAAATAAATGATTGGTTGTTGTTGATTACAGAATAATAGTTAGCTGTTGAGAAACCTACACAATAACGAACAATGTAGTATAATGAAAAACAAGAGCGCAGGGGCTGAGAAACTTAACTAACAAATATTTTACAAAGTTTTTGAAACATATTTGCCAATACTCTTCAAAGATGGTATATGTATATATGTCGTGGTCATAACAAACAAACAGGCCATTAACAATTCTTTAAGAATAGTCAACTAAGTAGATAATACAAATATTATTAATAATACATAATAATATAAGAAAGTAGAAACAATTTCTTAGGTATTCTAAATGAGTAACAACTTGTCTTGCAGCAGCAATATTTGAACTCTTCCTGCTTCCTATGTTCTATTTTTTTGTTTAGTTCTAATAAGTTGGTTAAATATTCATCAATTAACGACAACACAGAGCGTTTGCTTAAGCCGTAAAACTAATTTGTTGTTGTTGCTCTACAAATATTTGGCCACAAGTTGCAGCTGCCAGTTAATTTGGGTTTGGTTTGGAGACCTCTGTGGAGTACCAGCTCCGAAATTTTATTGAGCAGTGCAAGGGAATTTACTTTCTGAGAAATGCAGCAGCAACAACTTTCAGCCAATTTGCTAACATTTTTCACTTCGTTGTGTGTGTTTAATTATTTGTTTTCTTGTAACTGGTAGTTGGTAAGTTTTATTAACAATTCACTTTCGTAGTGCAAACTGCAGTGGCAGACTGAGCGGGCAATCAGTTGAAGCTCTCAATACGTTCAAAGGGGTAATATGAAATAGTTGTGCTCGGAAAAGTCGAGCTTCGGAATTCTGGATAGACACCAAACACACATAGCATTGCTGACTAGAAAATTGTGCAGAAGTAAGGGATTGAATTGTCCAAAGTTTTTGCCCGCAAATTTCATGAACTTTACGCTGTTAATATACAAGTATAGAATGGAATATGGGTTCTAATACGATTAGCATTCGAAAGGGCATCAATGAGATCAATTTCAATTCGTTTGTGTGTGTTTCCGAGTGCCTAAGAAGTTACGGGTAAATAAAAACTTCAAGTGCGTGCACACTCAGGCGCCTTGTTTATAGGGCATGGATAGAGTCTAGAGTCTAGATCCATCCACACCTTATACATTACTAACTGTTTTTGTTCTCTAATACTATTGTAAGTGGTTTGTATTGTAATGTTTGAAAAGTTAAACCCATTTAGTTATTGCTGATTATTCAATCTATGGATCTACATATTTATATGCATATATGTATGTGGATATATGTTTGTATATAAGGAGTATAAGGAGTACGGCTTGTAATTTTTAACAAATTGTTGCATGTATTTCATAATTTTCATTTCTCATAATGTTCATTTAGTGGCGACATTAAAGCTAAACTAAATACAAATTTCTTGAATCATGTTCGTTTCGCAACTAAGATAAATAGACGTAGTATGTATAATGCATTTACAAAATAAAATTTATGCACGTAGTAATAATAATAATAGTATAATTTAATATTAATAACATTATAATAACGAATTCAGTCAAGTCAGTAAATTTGGTTTCCACAAAATAATATTATGATAGCGAAGAGGAGAAACAAATGTACAAATGAAAGAAAAGAAAGCAGTCGCTGCCACGATTTTCCCATTTCGATTTCCTCCCTTTTGAGTTCTTTTGTTTTTTATGCAAAAATGGTTTTAAGGAATAATATTTGATTGGTGCCTGCTTTCAGAACTTTAACATAAATTTACATTTAGATATACACATTCATAATATTAAGATTATTATTTATATAATATATATATTTATACTTGATAACAACTATTGTATAGAATTCCAAAGCTTTGCGTTTTAAAACATTAACTCACAGAGTATTTTCATTATAAGTATATTATATAATTTGTTTGTTGTTTGTTATTTCTTTATTATATTCCTTTTTGCTTCGCTTTGCTTTCATTCTCGTTCTCATCTCATCTCATGCCATTTCAATTTCGATTTATAAATAGATCTTTATAAATGTTCACTCACGTTTGATTTGTCATCAAAGCTTGGCAACTAGATTGATTTTCTTTCAAACGTAAGCGGGCTTGTTAGTATCTCTTGTGTTAGTATCTGTATCTGAGTGTCTGACTGTGTATCAGTGTGTGTGTGTGTGTGTGGCCTTGAGAGCAGTGTAGGCTGAGCACTTAAACATCGGCGGGCAATTTCTGTTGGTCAGCAGCGACGTCAAGCTTAGATGCCCACAAAGCCATAAACCTCGAGCACACGTATCTCAAAATCTCCGGATGGACACAGCGGCGGATTGTTGAAGGTCTTACAGCTGTCTGTCTTGCCAAACCGTATGTTCTCATCCATCCAAATAGCTTGGCCCTCACTGTAAGTTGCAGAAGAAGGATATAAATCAGTTAATACGAACTTCATATGAAATTTCAATAATAATTGTGATCACTGATCCGGAAATGTAGGGCCAATTCCTTTTTAAATGTTCCATTACGGCTCTGAAATTAAGTTACCATTTTAAGTGATCACTAACATGAAACAAACCCACTGACTGGCCTTTGATCTCAGATTTTTAAGAGAAATTTAAATTTCGAAAAAAAAATCAAAAATTTTTTAATAATCTTCGCAACGTTATATTGGGAACAGTAGCTGATTATTGAAAATATATTTAACAATATAAAGCAATATCATTTCATCATTAAAAACTGATCCTCAGATCACTTATTGCTAGTAACAGAAATTCTACACATATTTGTTTTGTGTTCCTAAATTTTCATTGTTAATATATAATTGAGCCCTGAATACGCTTTGGCAGGGACCTGCACTATGATCAACGCAAATTCATGTTCCATTATTGGGAACTATTAAGACATTTGAGGACTCTTTTTGGCATATACAAGTATATTACAAATACAAGCATTTTAAAATTCTCAACTCTAACTATGTATAATTATACATATGTACGTGTATTCTATCAAATATATGCTCTCTTAACTTTTTTACCTTGTAAATAAACGCAATGGACCGACCAGCTTGTCTTAATAAAGAAAAGTGAGCCATCCCTTTTATTCATCTACAATTTAAATGCTACGCCCAATTTTCCGACATACATGAGATGTGCTTTGGAAACTTACCCGCCGCCAATTGTTATCATTTTGGAATCCGCTGCCATAAACAATTCGGACGAGTGACCCAAGTCTTTGTCATTCTCAATGCCCACCCAGGGGTATTTGGCGCGTTCGGGATAGAGGGAGAAGAGGAAGGTCTCGCCAGTGCCAAAGTAGGCCTGTCGCTGGCCTCTGTCGTCCTTGACGTTGCGTTCAAACCAGCGCGAGGAGCAGTAGGCGCCAAAAACCTGCATGGAAGAGTACAACTTGTATATCTCTATATAAGAATGTTAAGCATAGTGCAACTCACCTCATTATTGCACGTCTTGATCATGAGGAGTGTGGGCTCATGCTGCTCCACGCGCACGTAGAATGTTGTCAGTGAGCAGCCGTGCTCCTCAGTAGTGTAAAGCAGTACCGGTTGGTACATTGTTATGCGCACGGGTAGCCACGACCACAGCGTGAACAACTACGAGGGGGTAAGATAAAGGTACAATTATCTTCTACTGAACAGATCCATTTGCATATTTAGAATTAAGCGCAAATTAACTACTAACAGAGTAACTTTAAAGAGGTAGCACAGTTTAGCCAAAAACGGTTAAGTATTTTACACAAATAACATAATTAGTTGGCAGCATAAAACATTAGCTAAGCGAAAATGCTAAAGAGTCTAATTAAAAGCTAAGTTAAGTTTAAACAACAGGCAAATACAAAAATTCACTCAAATACAGCTTAGTTAAGCAAAAAAGCAGTTCATCTAAAACTGCAGCGGCAACGCATGCTGCTTAGCATTGAACAGCGACTGTCAAACTGCTGCTGTAACAACAGCAGCAATGAGCGCATGCTTATGAACAGTCACTCTAAAACTGTAGTGCCGGGGAGAATGGCGAATGGATCGAGCATTATAATACTTAATTGATGTAATTCTTACATTTTGATTATCAATACGTACGTACTACAGACAATGCACACACAATCATAGACAGACTGACTGAGAGACAGACAGACAGGCAGACACACACACACACACACTTGGGTGAGACGTCACTTTGTGTTTTTTTTTTATATGTTGGAGTATTTGGATGTTTGGTTGGGGACGGAAGGGGAGCTTGCATTTATTTTTGAGGTTTTTGCATAATGCTTACAAATTGTCTATCCGTCCAGGTTTTTATGAAATTCGTTGTGCCCGGTAAACCAAAATGCTATGAAAAAAGATTATATCATGTCAATTACAAGTCTGTGAAGTCTCTGAAGTCTCTTATATGCAGATATACTACATAGTATGAGACTGAATAATAACTTAGGCTGAGCTAGAACAGGGGCTAGAGTGGCGGAAGGGGGCACATTGAACGATTGAGGATAGATAGAAATGGAATAGATAGAGTGGAATCTGAGGGAATTCGATTTATATTCACTTTCATTTACAACTCAAGTTGCGCTGCACAGTTCCTTTTAAACTCTATGACTTGATGCAAAGAGAAAACCAAAATGAATGCAAAAAATTATAAGCAAAAAGGATGCCAACCAATATTCGTTCATCATAATACAGCTTGCATTATAATAATATATAAATACATATATTTTGGGTATTTGAAATTTGTTATAAAGAAAATGAAACTTTGGCGCATGTCATGCATTCTAAAGTGCCTGGGCAGTGTTGAAAAATGCTTTAAGAAGTGGAGATAGAGAGCGGCATGTGAGAGGGCAAGTGAGGTGCATTTTAAAAGCATAACATATTTATTGTTCTTGGTTATCTTGTTGTAGATATATAGTGAATATGTAACAAACTAGCAGAATACAATTATACGAGTATAGGTATTTGAATATCTGAAGATTTGCTTATCGGTTTTTTTCGATTCAAAATCAAACTTACATCTTCGTTGGTACACACTTGACTTTTCAAATTGTGTATGGGATAGACGCCCATGGCGATAGCTCTATGACCGGGCGATTTTTCGCCCTAAATGTAATTTAAAAAAAAAAAAAAACAAAAAAAATGCAAATGCACGTGTGGACAGAGTTTTTAAACAAAGCAAATGAAATGCGTTAAGTTTTTAGTTCGGAAATTTCGGTTCAAATGGATAAATTAATGTTGATAAAGCGTACGCATTTATTATATTCACAGTTGATTATCGATATGATGGATTTGGTTTTAGTTTTTGATTCGTTTCGTTTCATTAATATTCATTCATAGTTGCCAAGGCAGCAAAAAATACAAGAAAAATAGAAATAAATTTTATGGGCTTTATTTTATAAAAGTATGTAAATATATATGCATGTCTATATAACAATTTATCAGTTTAGTTGGTTAAATTCGTTTTTGATTAGTGTTTTATGTAGTTTTTGGTTTTGTTGTTGTTTTTGTTGGCAATGTGCAGCAAAAAAATCAAAATAAATGAAACAATAGTTTAATAATAAAGAAATTAATTAATGAAAGCAGCCTTTTGTTTATGTTTGTATTTAACAATAGTCGAGCGAACCAAACAGCAGCTTAGAATTAGTTTTCCTTTTCTCCTTTCAAACATTCCAGAAAATCAAGACAGGAACACAAAGTATTAAGAAAATATATATGAGTCCTTGCAACTAACTTGTTGATGCCCTTCGCATAAAGCAAAAATGCCAGCTTCGAAAATATATGCCCGTAATATCAGAGTAAGCTACTTCGCAAAAGCCCATTGCCTGGGTTTTAGAAGCATTGAATAAAATAAGAGAGAAAACTTCTCTCTTCTTTTTATTTTAATTTTTGTCGAAAGTTCTTGAAACAAACTCAAAAATGAAGCAGTTCATCGCAAAAGCTGCGAACGCCTTGAATCATGGGAAGGGCATTCGAGTCTAGACTCATATAAACGAACTCGATTCGGAACTCTTAAATCAAACATTTGCGTATTAAGTTGATAGAAAATCGTTCATAACATATGAAAAACAAAACAAGCACTTCATATCAACAGCAAAATTATATATCATAAGTATATATAGTAACATCAAAAGATTTGTTCAACCCCATACCAAATTGCGACAGCTCTCGGAGTGCATCTTCTGGTTATGTTTTTCGAATCGTGTGTTCGTTCGATGTAGAATTTGTTTCAAAATGGTTTGAAAGAACACAAGAAACAATAAATAAATACCATTATATATAAATATATGTGCTGTGCTGAGACTTAAAAATAACTCCTTAAAACTAAACTAAAAACGACGAATTTCTGTATCGTGTATGTGTGTTGTTGTTTGTTTCTTTTCTTTTTCCAGTGTTTGTCTAACAAATCTAGTGAGTACCTAGTGTATGTGTCTAGGGGGTTGAAATTTGCAAAAGGGGTCGACACTTACCTCACGGATGGTCAATGTGTGTGACATCATTTGAATGTTGACCTGCGACTGACTAGTGGGCAGATTATCACTTGAACGCGATTTGATTAGTTGCTTCGAACCGCTATTGAGCACGGAACGGCTTTTTAGTAGCATTTCAGTCTTGACAAATATTCTAGAAATATACTGGGAACTGAAAAGAGAAAACAGTGTTGGTAAGTATTTCATCTTCTTAGCATTCTAAATATCTTCTTAGTTTGATGCAGATTAAAAAAAAGAAAATAGTGTTGGTAAATTATTATTTATGGCCTAGAACTTCAGCCGACGTTATAGTTTGCAAACTAATAATTATGGTACTGACTCTAATAACTTTTCGTCATTTTAAATACTTTTGTTTTCACTGCAGATGAGAGAAGAAGTGTTGGAAAACTAATAATTATGGTCGCGAGCTTCAACTGTTACCTATAATATTTATCTAATTTATAAGTATTTCACATTTTCTATTTCGATACATTTTGGTACGGGTGAATAATAATATCTTAATTATTTAAAAGCAAACTCCCTGAAGTAGTGGTTGATATGTGAGATTAAGTTACCATCTCTACTGTATTCTGATCTATTTTAGGCAAGGCAATAAAACTAAAATAATTGTATTACTCGCAGATCTTTAAACACCAGAGCTAGTAAGGGTGTGCAGCTTCTCAAAACTTTAGAATTTTTGTTAGTGTAGCCATAATACATAGTTCTGCTATCAAAAACTATATCAAAACTCTACGCTGTATAATGTTAGGTCTAAAGGGCATACAACTATTCCAAACGAAGTGCTAATAGGACATTTTTGTTTGTATTGTGGCACCTACCTGAGTCCCCTAATACTAAAAGCGGCATGGAGCAGCTTCGCCGGCGACACTGGTATCTTCTTGCAGAACTTAATCATCGCATTGCCAATATCATTTTTAATATTATCCGGACTCCATTCGTTGTTCGACTGGCATTCCTTGTGGAAGAGATTGAGTATGACGAGCGCCACACGGTAGAGCACCTTGATGCCCTCGTGAAAGTAACAATCCATGATCCGCACCAGATGCTGAAAGGGTAGACCAGCTAATATCCACCAGCACCAGTCCATGAAGACGCGCTCCAGCTTCAGACCCGGGCATATGCGTTGGAAATACGAAATGGCACTCTTCTGCAAAGCATCAATTGACAATAATATTGATTAGCGAGTGCGTTCCTGACAGACCACATCGTCTAACACCTACCGTGTGCTTTTTGGCTATCTGCATGACTGTCTTCCAAGTGACCTCGTGCAATAGTTTGGTTTGATTGATGAAAACCTTCTCTTTGCTGCCAACCAGGCCGGCAAGGCAAATGTAAGCTTCCTCCTCTGAAAAATACAGATGGAAATATTATTTTAAATGTGTACCTCATATTGGTTTTATTTACATTTTATGGTATTTGCTATATGGATTGAATCAATCATTCCTATGTTCTTCGCGCTCATCAGTCAAATCGAAATTGTTTTATTTAACCTTATGGCAGCAGCACACACACAAACACACAGACACACACTCGTATTCGCATTACATTTCACATGTCGTATACGTAATATTTGCCTTTCTGCGCTTCAACGCTTCATTGTTCAGTAGTTGAAGGCGTGTGAGTCGATATCGAATTGCTCTTGGTAGCTTAGACTATCAATTATCTGTATTTAATCATACGTTGCAGCGTTGTTGCCATCGCTGACGTCGTTGGAGACCCTAACCGCGATAGGGGCTAACAATAGAAATATACACTTAGTTGCTTATTATTGGATGATTTGTAAATACAGTTTATGGTGTAATTAAGATGCTTCATAAAATTTGAAACCATAAAAAATTACGACCGAAGTTAACAGAAAACCAAAATTAACATTTGAAAAACAATGTGATTTAAAATCTCAGAATTGTCAAGACTTTAAATAAATGAAAAGAATGATGATTTAAAAACGTTTCATATTCAAATGTTTTCTTATTTTGAAAAATTAATGAAGTTTTCTGTTCTTTAGTTGTTGTGTAGCCCTAAATACAACCTTTCAACAGAAAAGGTGTTTTTAAAAATCGATGAATAATTGTAGTCTTTTCTTTTGTTTATTTTGTCTATACGAGTATACGACTTTTATGAAGAAAATTACTCTTTAAAAGTCGATGAATATTTGCAACAGAAGTTTCTTCTTTAAAGAAAAGGTTGCCTGGTGTCTTTCTCTTTTAGCCCTATATAGTACTTTTTGAAATGAAAAGTTCCTGTAACAGTTGAAGATGAACTTTTTCTGGGGACCTTTCTTTACTTTTTCTTTCTTAAAATTGAAATTAGTGTACAAAAACATATACAAGTATAGAAGCATATACTTATTTATAGAGTAAACATGAGCTGTGCTGAACTGTGCTGCCCACCACTGGAACCACATCTCATGCCATATTAGTTTTGTCGCTAATTTAATTGCACAATTTTCTAATGGCAATTCGTGCTGCATTAGGTCAAGAAAATGCATTTCTCGAGGTTGTATAAATAGGCAGACTCGATGTGGGCGTTGTTGTTGGTATTTCTGTAAATGTTGTTATTGTTGTTGTGTTCTTGCGGTTGCTATCATCGTCATCATCTGACGTTTATTTGCGGTTGTTACTGCGCCTCCACTTCATGGACTTACGCTTTCGGGTTCATTTGTGTGGGACTTGGGGGCTTGGGAGACTGAGACTGAGCCTGGGGCCGAGGTTGAGTCTTAGTCTGAGGTCTGAGCCTTTCACAGTGCCCGCAGCGATGCAGCAAATTGAATTGCAAATTCAACTGAGGTCGGCCCAAAGGGGCAAAGCTGCGATCAAGTGAGTGAGTGGCTGCCGCATTCATAATGAGCACATTTTGCTGTTTAATTTACCTTTTCGGCATGCAAATTATTTGTCTGAAAAATTAGCTAAAATTGTGTAATGAACATTGACGGCCAGAGCTGAGCTGGTCTAAAAATAAAGCACAATACTGCGTGTTCTGCATATAAACATGTGAGTTTCGATTGAGATTCGTGCCTGGCTCATTAGCACTAACGGGCCTTAAAAAATTGATAAGCCAAATAATCAATTTATAATGGAAATAAAAGCTTAAAAGAATTAATAAATTGCTTAATTTTTCAGCTGCTCGCTCTAATCTAAGCCATTTAAGTTTCAATTAGCAGGCTGACAAAAACCTTCACCAATTGACACACAAAATAGAAAACAACACGCGGAAATAATTACAGTTACAACAGGTGGTTGGGGGTGTGCGTGTGTGTATATGTGTGTGTGTGTGTGTGTGTGTGTGCATGGGTCCTATAGGGTAGGGCTTTAAATTCAATTAAGACTGCTGGTACGATGCACATTTTTACATAAGCGGCACTTTTGTTGCTTTTGCCGCTTAGCTAGTTTGCTGATAAGTGTGAACAAAAGCAGATTGCTGGTCTATCAGCCTTACCCCATCCCCTACCCCCCTTCACGCTATTGATTTGTTTCAGTTCTTCTAGTTGTAGTTTTTATTGTTCTTGTTGTTGTTATTATTGTTGTACATTACAAAGTTTAATTGTCGTTTGCCGTTGTTGTGTTTTTAGATTTGAATTTATTTACATTTTTCTTCACAGTCTCCTATCTTTTTCATTACATGCTTTGCAATGCAAAAAAAAAATTAAAATGCAAACAGCTATAGAACAAGATTTTATACTGCAACAACAACAACTGCACACCATTATCAGCGCGGTATCAGTGCAGCGTCAGCTCTTGCCGGCTTAAGGCAGTTCTGCTTAGTTTGCGATTACCCGTAATTGTAGTTTTATAATATACTTAATTGTTATCAATTCTGTCGCTTTCCTATAAACTAATTATAAGAGTTCATTGCGATAGCTGTTTGAAGCAATTGTGCAAACAATTCTTTTTGATTTAAAAGTGTTGAATAAGCACTAAAGCTTTGAAGCAATAGTGTTGGACAGATTTTGAACTTTTTATTGTTTTAAATTCGGCGGTATGTGTTTAAAAACATAATTTTCCTATCGAATAAGTAGTTATAAATATTACTTGTATTTGCCATAGAAACGATTTAAACAATTCTTTTTAATTTATGTGTGGAATAATCCCTAAAACTGATGTTGGCAAGGATTGCAAATTTTTCGAGATTTACCCAACCTCATAAAAGGTGGTGGGTGCATTCTATTTTGTGCTCAGGTAAAAGTTAGGGGATAAAAGTAGGGAGCGTGCATGCTGTTGGTTCAATGCCCTGCTCTAGTGGTCTTGGAGTTTTCTCCGAATATGACTTAAAGTCTTCCTTGGATATCTCCGCAACGGTTTATTGATTTTTAACAAGTTTTTAATTAGTCATGTTTTGGGATATAACGTTTTTAGGGTCTCTTAAGGCGTTCGAAGTCTTATCACTTAATTGTTTGACGACCAATAACTGAATAAAAGATAGCTTAAGTGGTTTTCCTATTCAGCTATCAAAAGGGTAATTTACTTTCCAATAAATAAAGCGGACTTGAAATTTGTTCTTTTAGCAGCCTTTAAGCTTAAATAGACTATAATTGAAAGGCAAATATGGTTATTGACTTGCTTTAGCGGACAAGTTTGTTTGAATGATTTGTTAGTTTCCAATTAAAAAAGTAATAACTTGGCTGCAGTTTTAAAAGTGCAAAGCATATTTTAAGTATATAATTGCAAAAACTCAGATGCACCTCTCGCCTCATATACACACATATTATATATTATTAATACTGAAATTTATAGACTGATAAGACTAACGACCTGTTTGTTTACAAAATATATTTTATTCTCATTAAATATTTGCAAATTACTGCCTATTTATAGTAAATTCGTTGTGACGAGTTGGTAAAATGTTCAAAAATGAACTTATCAATTGTCTTTCCTTAATTTGATTTAAATTTTTCGCACTCTGCTCAATCAACTCATAAATATTGGCAAACATTATCAGCATTGTTGATATATGTATAATCGCTGAATTTACAATGCAGCTTGAGTTATTACCATTGATTGGCTCTCTAATTGGCCAATTAGTAGATATTTTTGGATCTTGCGATAAGTCTAGCTGTGAAACATTTTGCAGCAGCATGAGATTTAAAGACTGTGCCTGACGAATTGCACTATCTCTGACGTCGTACGTACGAGTAGTTTACTAGCTTTTCCAGATATAAATCGCTCGCCATACTCGTATCACTATATTGTTGTTCACACTAGAAATGTTACTAAATCGGAGCTGTTGGCTTTGCTGTTCTAAATCTGAGGAACAAACAAACTAAATGCCAACCGCCTGCTTATCTAAAAACCTCGCAAGCCCCACTAAAAGGGAGTACAAGTATGTATGATATAGAGATCATATCATCTCTTAATTGACTCAGCGTGCAAACACAAACAGTAGGGGTTAAAAATAGCAAGGCAAGTACACAACATTTGAAATACATACATATGTATGTACAAATGTATATAGTATACATGAAATATAACATTCCATTGAAGCACTCTTTACGCCTCGTTGATGCAAATTTGAAACTGAAACTGAAGAACTGAGAAAAAAACGAAGATTCTCAATTGAAGGCATTAAATATTTTAGCTAATTGATGCGCTTTGATGTGTCGACTTCAAAATATTGTCTGGACTCGCCACAAAGCTAATAAATATCCATTTCACTTTTGTTACAAACTCAATACTATATGAAATATACATTTTTTACGCCTAATGAAGATGTTTGGTATTTAAATCAAAACACGTGCACGCTAGACATTTGAATTCTGTTGTTTTTGCTCAATTACTCTATAAAGCAAGCAGAATGAAATGTTTGTACGCTTGTTTGTCTGTTTGTTTGGGCAGGGCATACAAGTCAAGAATAATAAACAATCGTAAAACAAATGACAATCAAACAAAAGCATGGCAGAAGAAAAAAGCAAGCGAAATGTTATAAAAAGTGCGCATTTGTTTTAAGAGCGTAAAACCACCTCGCCTATATACTGGTACACACATGTACATATAAGTAGATATATAACTTGAATTTTATTTGTGTCGACACAAAATACTCTTGACGTATTGAAAAACATCTTAAACGAAGACTTATAAGTTAGAAAAAAATAAAAAACTAAAATAATATAATATGTAGTAAAAAACCGTACTCTTTGAGATAATTGTAGCTTCACAAATAAATATAAACGAATACTATAAATACAAAAAAAGTTTAATTACCATCACTAGTAATAAACAATAAAAAAAATGTACACAATAAAAGAAACACGAAATTAATCAACTAAATTAGTGGGCAAAAAGTCTAGATAATAAACAAATTATATATAAAATAAATATAGAACAAATGAAACTAATATGGTTAAGAACATTT